TCCTCCCCAAGCACCCTCTTGAACGTCTCCATTACTTGCACCCCTAGCTCTTCCGCCTCCTTCCACCGGCCCTGGTTCCAGTACGTCAACGCCAGGTTGCCCATGCTAATTAGCGTGTGTGGATGCTCCTCCCCAAGCACCCTCTTTCTTGCCTCTATTACTTGCACCTCTAGCTCTTCTGCCTCTTTCCGCCGCCCCTGATTCCAGTACGTCGACGCCAGGTTGCCCATGCTAATCAGCGTGTCCGGATGCTCCTCCCCAAGCACCCTCTTGCTCGTCTCCATTACTTGCACCTCCAGCTCTTCTGCCTCCTTCCACTGTCCCTTGAGCGTCTTTGCTAATCCTAGCATTGCCATACTGCTTAAAGTCTCCGCGCTCTCCTTCCCAAACAACCTTATCCTTGCTTTCATCGATCGCGTTGACATCTCCTCTACCTCGCCTACGCTTCCTCTCTGCCACACGTACCATGCCGCGTTGTACAGTAGCAAAGCCCACTTCATAAGCGACTCTTCGTTCTTCGGTTTCTGTGCTAGCGCCGACGCCGCGTGGGGAAGAAGCGTCTGGCACTTTCCCCAGTTCTCATAATGCCCTGTCGGAAACTCCGCGCAGAGATTGGCAATAAACTGCTGCTTCCAGCGTTCAAGTTGCCCCTGCCCTTTAAGCCACTTTTGGGTGGCTAACTGCACTAGCCTATGCATCTCAAACGTAGCCACATCAGCTGCGACGGAGATGAAGCAGTAGTCTCGTAGCGTAGAAACGTCATCTTCAAATCCGTCGTCAATGCTGTCTTCCGACGCACTATCCTCCTCCTCGCTCTCTTCATCACTCTTCTCGTCCGTCCTTAACCTCGCATGCCCCTCCCCTGTGCCGCCCTGGCCCCGAAGCAGTGCTTCCGGAATTCCCTGTCGGTCGAAAAAGCTCATAAGCGACAGCAGATCGGCGGCCGATTGTCGTGCACTGCGTATGTGATCGAACGAGATCTGCCATGTTATAATAATGGAGTTCCTAGCCTCCCCATCTCTGCGAAGATTTCCCGCTTCGTAGTCGAGTAGACTCGTCTTTTTCTTGTCGCTCTTCTCAAACTCTTCCAAGTACTGCCGCACCGAACATCGCGGTGCCCGTTTCTGGATGTACGCTGCCGCCTGCACAAGAGCGAGCGGCATGTACTCCAGCGCCGCCGCCAGGTCGGCCATGCCGTCCTTGTTGACCGTGTCTCCCAGCTTCTTGTTAAGAAGAGCTCGTGCGCCTGCATCGTCCATCGGCTCGATTTGGATGATATCGCTCTTCTCTACAAGCCGCGATGCCGCCTGCTTTGTTCGACTGGTCACGAGAACCGAGCCGTGCCTGCTTGGGGGCAGATAGCTTGATAGGTCGTGCAAGGAGGCGTCTTTGCTACTGCTCGGTAGTTGGGAGAGAACGTCAGCATCGTCAGCGTTGTCAACGACCAGCAACCACTTTCCGTGCTTCTCGTCGCGGAGCCAGTCGTGAACTAGCTTGAACACGTCCGCCCGTAGGTCGTTCCGGCCGCGAACCTTGGCTTGGTCCGCTATGTCTCGGAAGCTTTGCACGAGCCGGGCTGCGTTGCTGGCGTGCGCCCAGAACACCCACGTCTCCGGCGATTGCTCTGCGGTGCGATAGCAGTGCTCAATAGCAAGCTGCGACTTCCTGTGCCTGCATTAGATGCAAGCACTGACCCAACTGTCCTTCCGCTTACCCCACGCCGCCCAAGCCCACCAGTGCTACTCGCGATGCTGGCGCTGAGCATTGTTGGCGTATCTGATCGAGCAGCGTTCCACGGTCGACAAAGTTCGCGTCGCGGCGGAAGGGGATGTGGGCGGACGGGCTGGGAGGAGTCTCCGGTCGCTCTGGTGTGGGGTACTCCCGTTAGCGCAGCTGAGCGCGGGCCGTCGGCGAACCTACCGTGCGGAGGATGATGGTGGACGTCGCCGTGGATGACGCCCGCCTGGAAACCGGCATTCGCGTCGCCAAAGGATATCGTGGAGGTCATGATACTGTCGCAGTAGAGGAGTATGCATCGGTGGTGTCCGCGGCCAGGCGCCAGCTGGATCTTAGCCTGCTGGTCTTGAGCAGCTGAGACGGAAGGCTGACGGCTGGAGGCCGACGCCAAGCATGAGCCCGACCGTGGACATGCTCGCCCAGCCCCAGCTTCGTCGCTGCTTTTCATACGTTTTTGTGAGGTTCCATGCTTTGTGTGCAAATAGTTATCATAGGAAACAAGCCTTGCATCGCTCAGCTACTGGTGCTTAGGGTCAAGACCTCACGCTCCTCCAAAATGTAGCCCGCTGATATTACCATGAAAACTCCCGGCCTGAAAGCCCTTGTTGTTGTTTCCGAACGCAACATTCCATGACTGCGCCGTGTGCTGGGTCGAAGATGATGCCACAGATTCCACCCTGCTTGCAGCGTCTGTTGCCGGGAGCATGGACAGTAGCCCTTTTGCGCATGCCGCCGCCGTAGCTGCCGCGTAGTTCTGCCAGCCCTTATTTTTATGAGAATCCGCATAGTCGCAAATGCCCCGAACGACCACGCACGGATACTCTTCCAGAACTCCCGCTGCTTCCATCTCAAAGCAGATGGCCTCATGCTCTTGCTGAACTCTGTCGCGCTCGATGGCAGATATCTGCAGTTGATTGCTTGATGCAATGTTACCGAAATGGACAAACGGCTCGTCAAGCAATCGAGTAGCTCCGTCGCCTCGGTCAGAACGCGAAGTGGTGTAGTCCGCGTCGCAGCATTCCTTGCAATCATCAAGTTCGGTACCTCGATGCACGTAGGTGCCCCCGAAGAGCCTGTCACGGCTGGGCCCTGGATCGTCGTATTGATGCCGTCGCTTTTCGTCCAGCTTAAGACGCATTTGCCTCAAGACTGCCGGAATGTTGGTCTTGGACCAGCCCTCCGCACGGAAGTTGTTGACAGCGGCCATAAGATCACCAGGAATGCCATTCGTGTGCCCACGAAAGTTCAGGCGCCCTTGGCCCTCCCAGGCGCCTTTATCGTACTGCAAAACGCCACCATGATTGCCTCGAGGAGAGCTGACGACCACGTCCCCAAGCACGATCTCAGACACCGCACCGGCCGGTCCGTAGCGAGGTACGCCGCCAGCAATACCGACCAAGAGAAAGTATTTGATATTAGGAAATCCAGCGCGCATCTTCTCCGCAAGGATTGCAGCCCCACTAAGACCTGTCTTTCTCTGCACTCCTATGACAACCTCATGTTTGCCGATTCGACCGCCTAGATAGAAGGTGTCCTGGTATTGGACTTCCTCTTGCGGGTATTCTTCGTCCAGTACAAGCCTGGCAGCCTCTTTTTCCAGAGGGAGAGGGGAGATCCATCCTATGGTGAAATGATGGTTCTTAGCCATTGTGGTCAACGATTGCCTTTTGTAATAATTGCAAAGGGTGGAAGGCAGGTTACAGTAGGCTAAAGCAGTGGGCGGGAGTGGGCGTAGGCAGCAGCGCTCGGCTACAATTTAGCCTTGTTCAGCCTTGTCACGATCGCCAAGCGGCTTTTCCAACTGGAGCCACACGTATTTTCTTCAAGCCTTGTTGTTCTACGCATATTCAATGCTGGTTCTGATGAAAAAAATATCTACACACCGTGGCGGGCGTTAAGTCTTCAATTCGATAGCCCTAACCGTTTAGCCCAACGGCTCCACCAAAACCACAAAGCGAGCGTTGCAATGGTCATGGGGACAGAGAGTGCCCAATAGATCCAGAAATGGCGGGATACAATAAAGGATGATCTTTCAGTGACTTTACCAGGTTCAAACGAAAAGAAATTCATGCCAAAAAGCGTCTGTTCAACAGGTTCTGTTAGCCAGGTGTACACCTATAAACGGTTGGGCGGCCTACGGAAACAAAGGTAGCTGGCAGGAAAGTCATCGTAACCACAGCAATCGCCTTCATCGCAGACGCCTCTCTCTTCGCTTCTTCTCCTATCCGCACTTGAATCCTGCTGTCTCTCTGGGCTGCCGCATTGAACGCCTGTTGCCGTAAGCTTGGCAATCCACTGTATGCCTTCTATCCTAGACGTACAAGAGTGATCTCGTTCTGGATCCGAGCATTGTTTGCTTTAGACCGTTGGAGCAAGCCCTCTAGAAATCGGAGCTGGAATTCAAATTGGCTCCCCACTTTGTCCCAGCGTCTATGTCCACTGTTGCCCCGGACCAGGTCGGTGTTGGTACGAAACCTCTCGTGATGTTGCCGTATAGCGTCGAGCGACCGTGTAGCCACGCTCAAGGTTTCACTGACATGTACACCGTGTCTCGCAATCTCGTGTAAAAGGAAGTAGTCGGTCTCTTGTGACCTTCTCTGTCAAGAATAAGCCTACTGCCCCTAGCTAGCAACTGTGGAGAACGACACTTACGGCTTCCCACTGGCTGATGTAATTTCTAATGGACCACACCGAATCATCGTACAGCCGAAGTAGCGCATCCGAGATGAGCGAAAATATGGCGTAGGGACAAGAACAATTGATTGCCTGTAGACCAAACATGGTCTGGATATCGGATTGCGACTTCGCAGGCAAATCGAAGCACAGAAGCATAATCAGCCCCGACCGATTCCAGTAAGTGAAGAAGCCCATCTCGTACCATCCCCATCCATACCGCGCACTCTCTAGCCCGTGTATTGCGATATCAGCGTTCCAGTCGTCGGGGCTGGAGTGGTTTGAAACATGCGGTGTGAACGTCCTTTTTGGCTTGAGCTTATCGTGCGTCTGCTTGACGGTAAAGTGAGACCAATACGCTGGATCCTGATAAGCAACACTCCAACGGTCTTCTAGTCCTTGCTATTCCTTGCTTACTGTAAGACTCCACTTCTTCATTTTGGTCAAGCCAGATGTCGTATCCAGAAAAGCCGTTCGATTGAAGATACATCCTGTTGAAGAAGAACTGGGGAATGCCTAGCTTGCTTCTAAAGCTTCCCTGCAGTTCTGGCTCGAGGTTGAGGAACGACTTGGCAGACGCGAATCTAGTCTGTGTCAAATCACGAACGGGGCTAGTCCATGGGCGACCTACATGATTTGGACCTGGACGGAGTGGAGCTCCTGTAGCCCTATAAGCTGTGTACTTACACACCTACGGGTCCGCTCACTTGTAGCACTTCGTTCCATGTCTTTTCTTGGGGTTGGCATGGATGGGCTGCCGTGATATCTGATAGATCAGCACAGTCCCTTAAGCTGGTATCGTAGAGCACTTACTTAGCCGAACGATTTTGTCCTTATCCATTATGCCGTCTGGTAGTTTTGGGTGATGCCACACTAGGAGATTTTGCCAGATACTCCGAGAATCTACTGTGGTATGCAGGAGTTGAATAGCGACGAGGCTGCGGCGGGGCAGCGGGCGGACAATCAGGCTCATGCTTAGCGCCAGCCTCCAGCCCGCAGCCTTGCATCTCAGGCATGCGACTGCCCAAGACCGCCAGGCTGAGGCCCAGCGGTCGGATGGGAACGCCGGCTTCCAGGCCGGCATCATCCACGGCTCTGTCAACGCCAAGTTCTGGCTTCCGCCTGGTACGTCGCGTGAGATCCACTGGGTCTGAGCAAGCGCTAACGGCAGCCCTACCTAGAACAACTAGAAACTCCACCACGTCCATCGGCCGTGATCCCCTTTAGTCGCGACGCTAACTTTGTTGAGAGAGGGGGTATATTTAGCTAAGTCTAAACAAAGTGTACTGCACTAGGCTTACGGACTACGCTTATTAGGCTAGGCAGCGTTAGGTACCTACGGCCGCAGCGACTACAATAGATAGCTAACCGCTAGCAAGCAAGTCGTAACTTGCCATTAAACTCGCGTACTAAAGCTAAGAGCAGTTACCTAAAACGTAGGTGTTCTAGGCGCACGCGAGCAATGCAGCGCAGCTTAAGCAGAGCTATTTGTTACGAGCTATTCTGTTAGCTAAGACCTAGGCTTACTTTCGTAAGAGGAGGCAAGAGATATATATTAGACGTAGATTATTTAGTAATAAAGAGGTAACGTACTTTATTATTAAACTCTTTACAATTTCTTAGTAAGGTAAATTAATAAAAATTAACTAGTATTTCTTAAATAACTAATGTACTTAATAACTAAACCTTCTAGACAACCGAACCTCTCACGATTTCTTAGCAAGAAAAATCAACGAAAATTAACTCGTTTTTCTTAAATAACTAAGCAAAACCTTAATATTTCTCTATAAAAATTTATATATATATTCTTTATTATATATTACACCTTATACTAAAGTTATACTAAGATATATTACGTAATTAAAAAGCTATACGTAT